GGGGTGTCTAGAACCAATGTAGTATTACACTTTTTTTTGGGGGGGGGGAGGGGCAAAAAGTCCCAAAAAAGGAAAAAGGTGTAAGATTAAATTTGAACAGCCCTTATGGTGAGTGAATCGCTGCTTGATGCTGCAAGACAATCACTGGCGTTCATCAATCTGCTACACCGTAGATCTTGTTATCTCTCGTTAGAAGAGGCCGATGAACTTCCAGTGGAGGGAGACGCTTTGCTCACAGTCGCAGGGTTAGATGCTGAAAGTACAAAAATAGAACTGTTGCAGCGAGGGTGGTGAAGAACAACAGTACATAAATTGTGGATAATATTACTATTACATATATAGTATATTTCATTTTGTTATATAAGTATTTCATAGCCTGTCACATGATATGTTTTCCCTTCATAAGGACCCATTAAAAAAAATAAAATTCTTTACTATATTCAATTCTAAAAATTGTTTGATACATTATATTCACATTTACAACAGTCAAACCAGTTCCACATGTAACTCCTGGACAATCAATTGTACACACGAACACTTCCGACTTTCCCCCTTTCTTTTTGTTGTTCTGTATTATTATGGCCCTGTCTGTCCTACTTTCATGACTCATTGGAGCAGAGGAAGATAGGACTAACGCTATCATTACTTAAACGCCTTTGCCTTTGATGGCAAAGGTTTTTACTATGGGAGGCTTGTGATGACAAAGTCTTAATTAAGAAGGTGCAATAGAAAAAAAAAAAATTAAAACTTTTGGGCTTAGTTCAGCTGGCCAAAAACATGCATCCCCCCGACTTACCCGTCGCGGTAAAAGCGCCTACAGCAGCATCGGCACAGTCAGAGAAGGTTGTGAAGAGCTCGGCACATTTCTCCGTGTCTGCTCGATTCTCGATCATGCACTTTTCGTACTCGTGGAATTCGTCGCCACAAACTGTCTTTATGTGAACAATTTCTGGGCTGAAAATTAGAAGGAGGAAGCGATTTAAATTTAGTAGCTTCAGTAAAAAGTCGTACGTACAGCACTTTCAAAACAAAGTAAGTCAAAACATGATGAATTATGAAAATCCATACAATTTGTTCTCTTTCTCATGAAAGGGAAAGTAAAGTCTTTTTCCTTTTTTTTGAACAAGAAAAGGAACATCAACAAAATAATTCTAAAAGACAAACTCACACAACTGCTTTATTCACTCAAGGCCTTCTGAGGTTAAGGAATAAAAAGAATGGAAAATGTTCCCATAGTCCTATTAGATACATTTCAGACTCGCTTCCCTCAAGTTTTTAGAACAGTAAAACCTAAAAAATACAGTAAACAAAACATTTTCAGATTGCACACGCACACACACACACACGTGGTATACACACACACACACACACGTGGTATACACACACACACACACGGGGTATACACACACACACACGGGGTATACACACACACACACGGGGTA